CCGGGGACCGTCCTTGCCCACCGGAGCTCCTCAGAGTTCACAGCCAGGGGCTGCTCAAGCTCCTGCTCCGGGCAGAGCTTTCCCCTTTGTCGGGAGATGTGAGCCCCTTCCTGCCCGTGCCATCTGCTGCCGGAGGGGGTCTGGCCTGGGGTCAGCCCTGGTGGGCCATGGTGAGGACCTGCTGCTGCCCATCACCCTGGGAAGCTGCGGAGGGGGAGCCCGGAGCCTGCCAGAGCCTCCTGGGGCTGGATCTGCTCATCCCTGTCCTCCCAGCATGATCCCACGAGCCCCTGGCCCCAGCAGCTGGACATGGTGGGTTTGGTTTTTAATCCCAGCCCTCCTGGGTAGTCAGGTGCTGGTGTGGGTTAAATTAGGCCAGGGAAGTGGTGGAGAGGGCAGAGCAAAGGGCTGCCAAGATGGTGAGGGGACTAGAGCATCTCTGTGCTGAGGAAAGGCTGAGGGACTTGGGTGTGTTTAGTGTGGAGAAGAGCAGAGGGAGGGGGGATGTGCTCAAGGCCTGGCAATCCTTCCAGGGTGGGTGTCAGGAGGATGGGGCCAGGCTTTTCCCAGTGGTGCCCAGGGCCAGGCCAAGAGGGAACGGGCACCAACTGGAGCAGGGGAAGCTCCATGGGAACCCCATGAGGAGGCCGTTGTTTGGTGTGAGGGTGGCAGAGGCCTGGCAGAGGCTGCCCAGAGAGGTGGTGGAGTCTCCTTCTCTGGAGACATTGCAACCCCCCTGGAGACGTTGCTGTGGGAGCTGCTGTGGGTGCCCCTGCTCTGGCAGGGGGTTGGCCTGGGTGCTCTCCAGAGGTCCCTGCCAACCCCACACCATTCTGTGAAATCCAGCCTGGGTGTTTTACCTCAGAATCCCTTGCATGGGGCTCTTCCAGGAGCATGTCCTGGGTTTCTCGCCGTCCCTGGGCGATGCTGTGTCTCTGGCAGCCCCACTCCCAGCCCTGGCTCTGCAGGACCCAGGTTACTCACACCGGTTGATGCAAGAGCTCCTGCTTCTTGCGGGGCCGTTGCCCAACCACCCTCGGACACCGCTGGCGGCTCTGCCGGGGTTACGTGGGTCCCTGCTCACTCCCGGAGCTCCGCCAGCTCCCTCCTCCGGGGCCGGTGCCTGGTTTCATCCCACGGAGCGGGCTTCGGGCACGATTTTGGGCAGGTTGCATCACTCACCGCAGAGCTCAGGGCTCGTGGCAGGAGCCTCAGGTCCCCTTTCAGGCAGCGTGTTGTGGCTTCGTGCCATGTGGGTTAATTCTGCTTCGCAGGAGGCCACCTCGGTGGCTCTGGTCGCTGCTTTGTGGCGCAAAGCATTTTATAAGGGTTTTAAACAGCTGAACTTATAAAATAATTTCTTCGGGAATAATCAGATTTCTTTGAGAATAATCTTTGGGATAGGGAGCAGCTCTCAGAGGGCTCTGCTGAGGGCACTTCAAAGCAGTGCAGAAGCTGAGGTCCATCTCCCTGTGGTGGCAGGTTTCCCTGTTTGCAGTGTGTCCCCCCGTTGTGTCCCAGCAGAGCCAGGCCCCCCCCGTCTCCGGGGGAGCAGGAAGGCTGGAGCACCCCCTCCCTCATGTGTTGAGGCTGTGGGAGCTCGGTGTTCTATCCCCTGCCTTACATCAGAGCCAGTTTTTGGGGTTTGGGGGCGTGGGAGTCGTGCCTGAGCCTGCAGGAGAGCCCATTTCTGACCCTACTGGTTGTACCGCCCCGCGGGGGGAACACCCTCCCCGGCCCCCAGCCGCCGGGAGGTACGAGTGCTGGGAAAGGGCTCCTTCCAAACAAGGTCCTTGGCCTAAAAAAACACCTGAAAATGCACTTCTCCTGCATCTCTCCTCACTCCGGCATCGCAGGAGGCCGCGCAGAGAAGGTCCAGCTCCCGCAGTGGCCGGAGAAGGTGCTGCAGGGTTGGGTTCCTCAGGGTTGGCCAGACCCTGCGGGCACAGACGGGGTGGGTGACCAGGACTGTGACACCTTTCCTCTGGCTGCTCTGCAAAGCTGGCCAGGGAAGGTGGACACCTCTCTGAGGGGGACTGGAGGAACTCTGGAAACATGGGTTGGGGTCCCAGGAGGTGGATTGGAGACACTCTGGAAACGTGGGTTGGGATCCTGGGAGATGGACTGGAAATACTCTGGAAACATGGGTTGGGGTCCCAGGAGGTGGATTGGAGACACTCTGGAAACGTGGGTTGGGGTCCCTGGAGATGGCTCCTGGCTTGGTCTTTCTGCAGGACGTTCAGTCCGAGCTCCTGGTGTCTCTGAGCAGACACGGAGCGAGGGGAGCGGGGGGGGGCTCTGCCTTGGCCGTGACCCCACGGGAGCGGGAAGCGGCCGTTCCCGGAGCGTCCCGGCGTGCCAGCCCCCGCCGCCCGGGGGTTAAGGTCAGCTGGTCGTGTTGTGTCAGCTGAGCGCTTAACTTTTTTTGCTTATTTAGAATTTCCTGTATTATGATAACATCTCATAAACTTCCAAATATAGCTCCAGGCTCGTTAGGACGGTAACAGGCTGCCCCGACCAGGTGTCACCGTGAGTCGTGCCGGCCTTTTCGCCGCGCGGCGGCAGGAAGGAAGGCGGTGAAGCCAGGCAGCTGCGCTGGTGCCCGTGTCCGCAGGCGCACACACACACACACACACACACACACGTGCTTTCCTTTCCCAGGCAGCTGGGCCGGGGAGGGCAGGGGAATCGGTGGGGCTGGTCCTGCTCCTGCTCCCCACCACAGGAAGGGCCGCGCTGATGGAACGGCCTGATACGGCCCCGAGCGGCTCCGACGCTGCGTGTGTGATGATGGGAAGTAGGAAAGCAAGGATCAGGCCGGCCAAGGAGGAGCTGAGGAGGGCACCTGGTGGCCCAGCTGGCCAGAATCCCTGCATCAGGCTGCCGGCTGATGCCAGCCGCAAAAATCAGGATGTTCCCAGCCCACAGAATGATAAAAAACACGGTGGCTTTGAGAAAACCCAGGGGGTCGAGTTTCCGCTTGTTCTGACGCCGCCTGGAGTGAGTTTCATGTTGGCATTGAGGATGCTCTTGTACCTCTGTCCCTTGCCACCAAGGGAGTGCGAGTGAGGACACGTGGGCACAGAATCACATGGGGTTGGCAGGGACCTCTGGAGATCGTCTAGGGCAACCCCCTGCCAGAGCAGGTCCACCCAGAGCAGGTCTCACAGGAACATCTCCAGAGGGTTGGAATGTCTCCAGAGAAGGAGACTCCACCACCTCTCTGGGCAGCCTCTGCCAGGCCTCTGCCACCCTCACACCAAACAACGGCCTCCTCATGGTGTTCCCATGGAGCTTCCCCTGCTCCAGTTGGTGCCCGTTCCCTCTTGGCCTGGCCCTGGGCACCACTGGGAAAAGCCTGGCCCCATCCTCCTGACACCCACCCTGGAAGGATTGCCAGGCCTTGAGCAGATCCCCCCTCCCTCTGCTCTTCTCCACACTAAACACACCCAAGTCCCTCAGCCTTTCCTCAGCACAGAGATGCTCTAGTCCCCTCACCATCTTGGCAGCCCTTTGCTCTGCCCTCTCCACCACTTCCCTGTCCTTCTGGAACTGGGGAGCCCAGCACTGGTCCCAGTGCTCCAGCTGGGGAAGCTGCTGGAGAAGCCGTGGTGGAGGGTACGGGACTGTTGGGGGGCTGCAAGCCTGGCCTGTGGGTCTAAAAAGGGTTTTTCCTGCCTGTGAAGCCTGAGCCGGGTCGTTTGTCCCGGGAGGAGACAGGTCTTAACGCGTTCGGCCGGAGCACCCTGCGTGTGGGACCTGGCTGGGGGGGGCAGTGGTGTTTGAGCACAGAGGGGGGGAAATTGGGTTAACCTGGCGCTTGATGCTATTTTCTGCACAGCTTGGCCCTGACCTTTCCGTTTTGGTCCTCAGACTCTAAGTGGTATCTTTTCTGGTGCCTTGTTCTGCTAAATGGAGCTGTGGTGAGCGGCTGGTGGCGAGTGCAGCCCAGAATAGTCCTTTGGTGGTGCACGGCTCCTGGCGAGGCTCCTCCTGCTGCTCTGGCCCCGTCGGAGGTCCCAGGGCCAAAATCCAGCCGTGCCAGAGGGATGCTCATGCTCCCAAAGCCAGAAGGTGTTACTGGGGGGGACAGGAGATGTAGGCGTCCCCTGGGACCACGCAGGGGATGCAGTAACCCCCCCACAGCTCAGCGGGGACTGGGCTGGTCCCGCGTGGCCGGGCTGCCTGCCTTCTTTGCTGTATCTCACTGGTGGCAGGAGAAAATCCTTCCCTGGGTTCCCAATTCCCAGAGTCCAGCTCAATCCACCAGAGCAGGGTTTTACCCCGAGCAGCTTCGTCGCTGAAAGGCCGTGGCCGGCGTCGAAGCGCTGCTGGGAGGGAAGAAGGAAGCCTTGAAGGAGTTTTAAGGAGAAGCAGTAGGAGCTGCCCGAGTTTCAGCGGTGCTTTAGCCATTGCTTGAAGCTGTCCCGAGAGCTGGTGGCCACCAGAAGAGCTGGCCCGCTCGCCGCCGTGCCCGTTTCTGTGGCCTGGCCAGCGGGATCGGGGCACGGTGTGGGTGAAAAGCAGGTTGTTATTTGGGCAGGCGTGGGTGGGAGCGCTCCCCCAGCCGCGGGGCAGGCTCCAGGTGCCATAAAGCCACCGGGAAACGGCAGCTCCGAAAGCAGAACCCAGCAGAACGATGCCATTGTTCGGGGAAAATGTCAAGCCCCGGGTTGTAGATAAGGAGCCGGGAATTGCGGTTCCAGACCTGCCTGTGGGAGCTGGCGTTGGCGACACGAGGAAGGAAACTGCAGCTCGGCCGGAGATCGGCCACGAGTCTGCTTCGCCTCTTACGCACCCTCAGATAAGGAGCCTGAGGGCTGTTTGCTCAGGGCTCCATTAAAATCAGGGCTTTTCCCCGCGGAAGGGGCCGTGGGGCCGTGTGTGTGGAAGGGGCCGGGGTCTCCTCCCTGGTGTCCGTGGGGGGCTGCGGCGGTGCCGGGGTGTCCCGGGGCTTTGGTACCCGCTGCCGGTCTCTAACCCCGCTCTGGTCTCCGCAGGGAGCGCGGATGGACAGGGACAGATTCTCCAGCGCTTCCCGGAGAAGGACTGGGAGGACAACCCCTTTCCCCAGGGCATCGAGCTGGTGAGTGTGCTGTCCCTCGGGATGGTGAGTGTGCTGTCCCTCGGGACGGGGGAGCGCGGCCGGCACGCGGTGGAGGTGACACCGTGGGGCTTGTGACACCGTGACACTGCGTGCCCACACCTCACTGGGTCTGACCCCAGCAGAGAGGGGTTCCCACCCACCCCCCGACACATCTCCAGCCCTGGAAAACCATGGGATCCAGCATGCTGGCTCCCAGCCCGGAGCCATCCCCGCTGCCTGCCCTGCCTGGGGCTGCCTCCTCTCCTGGCCGCTCTGCTCCCGCTCCTCCTCCAGCCGCTCGGGATGCTGGAATGTTTCCTGGAGCAGCCGCAGGGATGCACGTCAGTATGAATAGCCCCATTGGCCATCGTCGGGCCTCTCCCAAGCTCTCCACCGAGCAAACCTCTCCCCTCCTCGGGCCAGCGGGGCCAGCTCAGCCTCCAGCGGGCTACTGGCCCTGCCTCCCCTCCCCAGCCCTCCCTCCGGGCACGTTCTCCTGCTGCTGCCAGTCCTTTGAGGTTGCCGTCCCTGCCGGGTCATACCCATAGAGGGACACACCCAGCCTAATTTGGCACTGCGTGGGTTCTTCACAAACCAGCTTTCAACTAATCAAGGATAATGGGATTGTTCTCCTCGGTTGCTAAATTTGACTGGGAGTTCTCGGAGCCTCCCCTGCTGCCTCCCTGCTGCCTCGGAGCTCTGGAGGAGAGGAGCTGGTGCTCCGCTGCCAGCCGAAGCCTGTGGGTTGGGCTGTGGTTCTCCAGACCCTTTGCACCCCTAAACTGAGCCCCCCTCTACGCTGCTCTCCTCCTCCCCACTCCAGTTCTTCCCTGTTTCCAACTGGAGCACACTGGAGTGCAAAACCTGGAGAGGTACGAGGCTTCAGAGGTTCCTTCACTGCCTTGTGAGCCTCATGGTGCTGGGACTGTCCTCACCTCCCTCCTGAGTCACCGGCCAGAGACCCTCGTGGGGAGTCCAAGGGCAGGGTCCTGTCCCTGGGTGGGGGCAGCCCCCGGGCCCAGCCCAGGCTGGGGATGGAGGGATGGGGAGCAGCCCTGCCCAGAAGGGCTTGGGGGGGACACGGAGCTGTTGGAGGGGGCCAGAGGAGGCCACGGAGATGCTGGGAGGGCTGGAGCCCCTCTGCTGGGAGGGGGGGCTGAGAGAGTTGGGGGGTTCAGCCTGGAGAAGAGAAGGCTCCAGGGAGACCTTGGAGCCCCTTCCAGTCCCTCAAGGGGGGGGCTCCAGGAAAGCTGGGGAGGGACTCTGGATGAGGGAGGGGAGCCCTAGGAGGAGGGGGAAGGGTTGGACCCTGCAAGAGGGGAGATGGAGCTGAGCTGTGGGGAAGAACTTGTTTGGTGGGAGGGTGGGGAGAGCCTGGCCCAGGGTGGCCAGAGAAGCTGTGGCTGCCCCAGCCCTGGAGGGGTTCAAGGGCAGGGTGGAGGGGGCTTGGAGCAACGTGGTGTGGTGGGAGGTGTCCCTGCCCAGGGCAGGGGGCGGCACTGGGGGGGCTTTAAGCGCCCTTCAACCCAAACCATTCTATGATTCTAGGACTTGATGAATGGTTAGAGTAGGGTAGATGGTTGGACTCGATGATCCCAAGGGTCTCTTCCAACCTGAATGATTCTAGGACTTGACGATGGGCATTTGTGCATCTCTGATGAGGGGACTCGTTTTGGCCGGGGACCCCCTGGAGCAGAGGGTGTCAGACCTGGACACATCTCTCATCCCCGGCCTCGTCCCTCTGCCCTGTCCTGGCCACTTGGCTTCAGCAGTTACCTCTGTGGCCACCAAGTCGTGCCGCGTGGCTGGTTCCCGGGGTCGGTGGCGGTGACCAGCTCCTCTCCCCATCGCGTGCTCGCCCCAACTCCAGCGCAATTTTGGAATTTTACGTGCTATTTTGTCTGAGGCAAAAGTATATATTATTTTTTCTGGTTAGTGTTTCCTGCTTGTCTGCAGGGGACTTGGGAACGGTCCCAAGAAAGAGGAAAGCTGCTTTTTTTCCCCAAGGGTCAAACTGTCCAGCCAAAAAATCCCTGGAATTTAAACAATTGGAGCCCCGTCCTGTTGGGAGCCGAGGGTGGCTCCGAGGCTTCCCACAAGCCCTGGGTGACCCGCACGTAGGGCTGAAGCCAGGGCAGCTTCCGAAAAGTGGAGGGAGCCCACCCGGGGGTGCGGGGTCGTACCTTGCGTTGCAGCCGTTGCCGTGGTGCTTTTCAACAGCTTTTTTGGGGAGAAGGTTTTTGGGGGTGTGTGGGGAGGGGGGAGGAATTTGTAGCTTCTGCCCTTGCGCTGCCTGACAGCATTTCCAAACAAACCCATCTCCTATTAATGGCTGGGAGTTCCTCTGGAGAGAGGCACGGGATCATGGAATCATGTGGGGTTGGAAGGGACCTCTGGGGATCATCAAGTCCAACCCCAACATGGGAGTGGGTCTACCCAGAGCAGGTTGCACAGGATCTTGTCCAGGCGGTTTTTGAATGTCTCCAGAGAAGGAGACTCCACCACCTCTCTGGGCAGCCTCTGCCAGGGCTCTGCCACCCTCACAGGAAAGAAGTTCCTCCTCGTGTTTAGGTGGAACTTCTTATACTCCTGTAGCTTTCCAGGGTGGAAAGAAATTATCAAGGAGATGTCTTGGGGCATCATCGTGTAGCCATAGGAGGAGGGGGAAGGATTTGACACTGAAAGAGGGGAGATTTAGGTGAGATCTTGGGAGGAAATCCTTCCCCCAGAGGGTGGTGAGAGCCTGGCCCAGGTTGGGCAGAGAAGCTGTGGCTGCCCCATCCCTGGAGGGGTTCAAGGGCAGGGTGGAGGGGGCTTGGAGCAACCTGGTGTGGTGGGAGGGGTCCCTGCCCAGGGCAGGGGGGGGCACTGGGGGGGCTTTGAGCTCCCTTCCCACCCAAACCAGTCTGTGATTCTACAAACATGGGCTAGATCCTTGCAAAAGGGATCCTGAGAAGGGTGGGAAAGGCCGGAGCTGTGATGGTGGAAGCCCTGAAGGTGCTAAAGCAGCCTGGGCCGTGCAGGGCGGTGGGAAGCAGGGCTGGCTGGACAGACACACGCACACACTGTCACGAGAGGGTGGTTTTATTGCTCAAACTGCTGCAGGCAGTGTCTGCAGAGCCCGGCACACAGCTCGGCCTTCCCGGGGGGGTTTCCCAGACAAACCAAGGGCTGTTGCTCCAGGAAGGCCTAGGTGCAGCCGGGCTGGGGCATCCGCCAGCGCCGGGCTGGGGGGGCTGCAGTTCATCCCCCAGCTCAGCTACTTCCATCAACACCACCTTCCTGGAAGGTTGGAGACTTTATTATCTTCTGGATGTCTGCAGCTCACTCTGGTTCTCCGAGGAGCCCCATCAGCATGTCCCATGTTTGGTGTCACCCAAGGGCAGAGCACTGGGAGCGTTGGGTTTGCCCACGCCATGGGGAAGCGAGTGTGGGGTGAGTGTCCCGCCCAGCATGGATCTGAGTTGGGGAAAGGCACAGGTGAAGGGCTCACCTCTTGCAGATCCACGGAGGTCTTCAGTTCTGCTTTGTCTTCCTTTAACTGCGACACCGTCGGTGTTGTGGAGCACCACGGTACCACCATCGGCCACCATCAGGCTGCTGCTGGAGGACACTTGTTCTAGTCACCAGCCAACCTCCACCCATCTGCACCCGTGGTAGAATCCCCATCCCTGGAGGGATTTCAAAGCCGGGCAGACGTGGTGCTGAGGGACATGGGGCAGTGGTGGGTTTGGCAGTGCTGGGTTGGTGGTTGGACTCCATGATCTGAAAGGTCCCTTCCAACCTGGACAATTCTATGATTCTATCATCTTTCATGGAGGATGTTTGTCCTTTTGAGAGGATCTGGCTTGAAACAAGGCAGTGGTTGGGGAGGTCAGACATCTCTGTCCCTGGTGCTTTACGTGGCTGCTTTATGTAGAGTTTTGCAGGATAGATTGCCTGAGGAGCATTGGGCGCAGTCAAACTGGGCTGCGAGTGACACCAGGGCACAGCCAGGGCATAGCCTGTACCCCAGTGATGTGACCCCATCCAGGGTGTCACCTGCTGTGGCTTGAAGTGACCCGTTGCTCTCAGCAATGCAGTTTTTAGGAAGCTGACTTGCTATCCCATGGCTTGGGAAGGGCCCCAGGGTGGCTTGGTGCCTGGAGCTCAGGTGGGTCCCTCCCGTGGTGGGACCGAGGGCTCTGGTGGCCCTCACTGAGCTCTCATGTCAGGGGCAGAAGGTGGTGGAGCCGTTCCTTGGCCTGAGTAGGTGACACCCCAAGTGAAGAGGCTGAAGTGTGTTCACGTTGGTCTCACACCACCGTTTCCCTGTGCCCGTTCAGCGGTGGCATCATTCCCTCTGGAATGGGCTGTGGCTCCTTGGCTCTGGAGATGGCACGGCTGGGGAGCAGAGCCTGTGCCCACCAGTGGTGGTGGTGGTGATGCCCATGTCTTCCCAGGGTCCCCTAGTAGAGGAACAGCCCAGGAGATCCCAGCTTCCATTTCTGAGGCCTCTGGATGAGCACACTTTGACCCCCAACATCTCGTGCCTTCCTGCCTCCTCTGGGAAGGTTTGATGCCATGGCCAGGGAGCGTGTCCCTTGGCACCAGGATGTGGTGGTCGGGAAGTGCTGGTGGGACCCAGCAGCAGAGTCCTCCGGGGCAGCAGCTCTGTGTGCTTCCCCCTCCTCGTTTCTGCATCCTCTGGGAGGTGTTTGCACGGAGCTGTGACCTACGAGCATGCACGGACATGGACATGGAGTGGGAAGGTGGGCACGGGCAGCTGGAAAACTTCACCAGGTTGGAAACGGCTTCGATTTGCAAGGGTTAGAATCATAGACTCATTCAGGTTGGAAAAGACCCTTGGGATCATTGAGTCCAACCATCAACCCCACTCTACAAAGTCCTCCCCTACACCATATCCCCCAACACCGCATCTGAACGACTCTTAAACACACTCAGGGATGGTGACTCAACCCTCTCCCTGGGCAGCCTGTTCCAGTCTCTGACCACTCTTGCTGTGAAAAACTCTTTCCTCATGTTCAGTCTAAACCTGTCCTGTTGGAGCTTGAAGCCGTTCCCTCTTGTTCTGTCACTAATTACTTGTGAGAAGAGACCAGCACCAGCCTCTCAACAACGTTCTTTCACGTAGTTGTAGAGAGTGATGAGGTCTCCCCTCAGCCTCCTCTTCCTCAAACAGTCACAGCTCCTTCAATCGCTCTTCGTACGATTTGTTCTCCAGGCCCCTCACCAGCTTCGTTGCCCTCCTCTGCACCCTCCAGATCTCTCTTGTGTTGAGGTGCTCAAAACTGGACACAACACTCGAGGTGTGGCCTCCCCAGGGCTGAGTACGGGGGGACTTTTGGGCTGGAGCAGTGATTTCTGCAGCTTTGTGTCCTGTCAGCCCTTTCTGGCCTCGTTGCCGCCTTATTCCCATCCTCGTCCTCGGGGTGAGTCGGGCCACGGCCTCACAACGAGCCGAGCTTTCCCGCTCCAGTGAAGTCCCAGAAATATCGGGAATTTTCCGCAGCTCCTCACCAGCCAAGTGCAAATGCTGAGGAAATAAAGAAAAATCCCTTGAGGCTTTGAAACCCCGGGGGGATCCTGTGGCCTCTGGCTGCTGGAATTACCCACCGGCCACGGGGAGGGTGTTTGGAAAGTCCCCAGAAATGGGTAAAACTGTGGTGGGAGCTGCCTGGGGTGCGGTGTTGGCGCAGCCTGGGCCTGTGGTATCCCTCTGCCTGTCCCCAAGGAGCAGTGCCACCTCCCAGGGTGGGCCTGGGACACGTGGCCTTTCCTCCCGGGAGTCTGTGCCATGCCTGTGTGTGGCCACCCGGCACCTTGGTGGCCCCCGGGGACCTTGCTGGGTCTGGCAACCCTCACGGGCTCCATGCTGGTTGCAGGTAGCCACCTCGCAGCCCCTCTGCTGGGGGAGCTCCTGTGGCTCCGGGATGGGCACAGGGTGATGGAGGATCCTGGGCTTGGCCAGGGCATCCCCTCACCCTTCCTCCCAGCTTGGGTTTCTCCAGGCAGATCCTGGAGGGGAAGGTGCCTGCCCAGTTCTCCCCCACGGAGGGGACAGGAGGCTGTGGCCAGTGTTCCCCCCTCCCTGGACCATGGTGGGTGCCAGAGAAGGTGGCACAGCCCAGTTTCCCTATATACTCTTTAGGGGACCTGCTGCCACACCATGCTCCCTTCCCTGGGAGCTGGTACCTGGTGGTGTCGGTGCCCAATGGTGTCACTCCCTGGTGGTGTCGGTCCCTGGTGGTGTTGGTGCCCAGTGGTGTCACTCCCTGGTGGTGTTGGTACCTGGTGGTGTCAGGATCTGGAGGTGTCGGTCCCCAGTGGTGTTGGTCCCCAGGGGTGTCGGTACCTGGCAGTGTTGGTACTCAGCGATGTCAGTACCTGGTGGTGTCAGTCCCCGTTGGTGTTAGTGCCTGATGGTGTCAGTCCTTGGTGGTGTTGGTCTCCGGTGGTGTCAGTACCTGATGGTTTCAGTACCCGGTGGTGTTGGTACCCACGGTGTCGGTATCTGGTGGTGTCGGTCCCTGATGGTGTTGGTCTCTGGTGGTGTCAGTACCTGGAGGTGCCGGTACATTGGGTGGTTTCGGTACCTGGTGCTGTCATTCCCTGATGGTGTCAGTACCCAGAGGTGCTGGTTCCTGGTGGTGTCAGTACCTGCTGGTGTCAGTCCCTGGTGGTCCTGGTTCCTGGAGGTGCCAGTACCCAGAGCTGTCGGTACCTGGTAGTGCCAGTTCCCAGAGGTGTTGGTTCCCAGAGCTGTTGGTACCCAATGGTGTCGCTACCTGATGGTGTTGATCCCAGGTGGTGCCAGTTCCCAGAGCTGTTGGTACCCGGAGCTGTTGGTACCCAATGGTGTCGGTACCCGATGGTGTTGGTACCTGATGGTTTTGGTCCCTGGTGGTGTCAGTACCCAGAGGTTCTGGTTCCTGGTGGTGTTGGTACCCAATGGTGTTGGTCCCTGGTGGTGCCAGTTCCCAGAGGTGCTGGTTCCCGGAGCTGTCAGTACCCGATGGTGTCAGTACCTGATGGTGTTGGTCCCTGCTGGTGCCAGTTCCCAGAGGTGTCGGTACCCAGAGCTGTTGGTACCCGATGGTGTTGGTCCCTGGTGGTGCCAGTTCCCCGCGGTGCCAGTGCCCGGAGCTGTCAGCACCCAGCGATTTGCTTTCACACCCTCCAGCCCCCGCAGCTCCCAGCTCCTGCCACCGAAGCGATGTGGGGACGAGGGCAGGGGGGCAATGCGGGGCTCCTCAGGCCCCCCTGACCCCCCTCTCCTCCCCTGCCCTCCCTTGCAGTTCTGCCAACCCAGCGGCTGGCAGCTCTTCACCGAGAGGAACCCCCCCACCTTCTTCGTGGCCGTGCTGACCGACATCAACTCGGAGCGGCACTACTGCGCCTGCTTCACCTTCTGGGAGGCCGTGGAGAGCACGCAGGTACCGGGGGGGGGGCGGGGGGGCAGGTTGGGGAGGGGGATTGACCTTCAGCTTTGGCCGGTGGTTCCCGCTTTCCCCGCGTCGGAGGAATCCGGGCCCTGGCGTCAGAGGCTTGGGAGGGGGAAGAGCATCCTTTCTCTAACGCTGCTGCGTGTCTCCCCAGACTCAGGGCCACTCCAGGAATGGTGATGGGGACGAGGAGGAGGAGGAGGAGGAAGAGGAGCCGTCGTCTCCCGTTCAACCCGCCCAGCTCTTTGCTCCCAAAAGCTTGGTGCTGGTGTCGCGGCTGGACCACGCGGAGGTGTTCAGGGTAAGTTCAAGACGCCCCACGGCCGGGATGGGGGGAGCAGGGAGAGGAAGAGCAACCTCAGTGCAGGCTCCGGGAGCAGGCAGGAGCCACGCGGTCGCTGCAGGAGCAGGAGCTGCAGGAGCCACCCTGGCACGGCCCCCGTGGGAGAGCGGCCCGTCCCCAGTGAGCAGCCAGCCCGGGGGGCAGCTGGTGGCCTTGGCCCCGTTCTGTCCATAGAAAAACGGGGAGGAACAGCCCGTTCCTGCGGGAGCATTTATCTTGGCCATCTTGATTTTCTTGAAAGGTGCTGCATT